ATAAATACCAATAGTGTGCCCTTATTCTCCTCGTATAACTAAATATACCCAAAACACCCATGTCTAGTTAATCAGGCCCCTACGCTAGAAACCTTGTCGTAGCATTTATACAAACCCTTAACGAAGATTTATAGAAACCTCATTCTATTCACGGAGGCCTCAAAACCGAATATGCGCAGACCCTTGTTCGAATTGTGCGGGCTCGTATATTGTCAAGGGGTAAAGAGCAAACCTTGAACTGGACAGATCTCGTAACTTCTGGGAATCATCCGCTCCTGTGTCTTGCTCACGCAATGCCCAGCAACTAGACATGGCTCTAAACCAGCCGACCAAACGAGCCGGTCCGTTCCGGGCTCAAACCGGGTTGTCGACGAGCCCATTTCAAGCTCTTAAGTACCTTGAAACCGTGCACAGACTACAACATGTGTCGATTCAACCCAAATCCCATCGGAACCACAGGAATGCGGCCAAAGCGTAGAGGCTCTGATCGGACTCGTTAATTGCCTGCAGCTGCATCCGGAATTTGGAAGGATGCATCCGAATGAATTTTGCAAGCTGGTCGCTTTCAGCAGCAGTTTCCTGGAATGAGCAGTCCCAAGCTCCACGCTGAATTGGAAAAGGTGGCGTCGAAGACAAGGACCTGAGGCGGTGAAGATCCTGCTTAGTATACTTTAACTAATGTACTACCCGTGTTGAATATATACTATGACATACAATATGATATAATTAATCATGTACTATCATCCCAAACTCTCTTGGCCCAGGTTTTCTCAGCTCTTTGCCTCTCCTTCTTCCCATTGTCGCGTCCGGTGGCCTGGCCAACGAACTGGAGTCACGGCTTGGGGTTTAGTTTTTGTTTTTTTTCTGGGTTTCTCCCTCTCCCATGGGATGCAGACTAGTCTACTCCAGGAATGCACGCACGTGGAAGGCCTTTGGCCAACAACCCTGTCAGTCTATACTGTTCACTGTTCACGTTGCAATCAACAACGAGAACACTGAGCATAAGGACCCCATCATTCCTCACGACGATCCTGACCTGCTTTCAAGAGACTCCGCACCGTTGCACCCAACCCTGCGCGGAAGCTCGTGTGTCGGCTTCAGAACCCGGCAACTTACTAAAAATCGCACGCGCCAGTGCCAGCCATCAGGTCTTCCGGCTCGGGTGGCTCGCGCTCCAGCGGGAAGGTCATTGATAACGCGTGCATCGACGTGCCGGCTGCCGACGAGGAAAAGCGGCCGGAGAAGGCCTCGCCGTGCGACAGCCGAATTCGGAATTACCTTGCGTTGTGGCACGGGCCCGCGCTCCACGCGAGCAAGTGGATGCCGCTACACGCCGTGCCCGTGAAGCGGCACGCTGCGCGCTCACAGCAAGATGCACACCGGGTCATCATCAGCATCACAGCCGCGAAGCTGATAAACAGCTGAAGCATCAGCGTGATGAGGACCGCAGTGTTACCACACCAGAACTGCGAAGCAGCACGTCCAGCAGCCAGAGAAGCAGAGCCACCACGATGCACAGCAGGCCGACGCGGACATAGAGCATCAGCGTCGCCATGCCTGCCCAGGCAATGCTGGGTGATGGCGATGACACCTTGTGTGGCCGCCCAGACGCAGTATACACTCGAGTGCCACGGCGATGTCCCTCGTGCCCTGCTGATGCAGCAACGCCAAGCCGGTCTGCCCGTTATTAGGATACACTATATCATCATCGGAGCCACTGTTGGAGTTTAGCCGGTTTAGGTTTTTTTTCCCCTCTTACATGGCTATGCCTACAAGCGAGGTTTCGACTCTGACACTCGCACAAGGCCGGCAGGGTTTAGGCTCCCACAACTCGGACATGCCAGGCGAGGCAGGGTTTAGGGATTAGGAGCCATGATCGTTTGAGCTGTGTGCATCTTGTGTATCTCAGACTTTTTTCCGAAGAGTTCCCGGAAAAAGGAGCAGGTTCAAACAATGCCAGCTCCTCACCAAAAACAAAATCCGCATGACTGCTGCCAATGCTCACTCTCAGCACCATTCTTAGATGTTCAGGCGATCTGCTTTCTTGTTATTTTGGGCAAAAAAACTGTCAGCTGCATGCCCCTGACCCGAATCCAGAACCAATGCAGCATTAAAGAAGCAGCATCACATCTTCGTCGTCGTCGCGATCGCAAAGGAGGAGACAGTACTGGATAGAATCCGTAAAAGCCGTAAAACATCCATCAGCAACATTATCACCATCATCAACATCACCATCATGCGTGCTCAGTTTCAGTTTTCACGAAGCAGGCCCTACACCCTAAACCCTAAAACAGGGACAACGAGAGGATCAAGCGCAGTCCCACGGCTTCAGACTGAGCGGCGCCTACTTGCAAGGAGCAGCCACCAGGCTCCAACCTCGGTGTTCGTATAACATACGTAATATGATATCGTATCATAGGACCTCTACGATCATATATAGTCCGACAATCGAATGAATATATATATATATATACATATACATATACATATACATATACATATACATATACATACACATACATACACATACACATACACATACACTATATAGTAGATTTTGTTGGCGGACAGGCCTACGGGGGGAGGGGGGGGGCGGGGGGTTGGGCAAGGTTTGCTCAGAGCGTCGCAACACAACTTGTTGCAGGGGCGTTTTTGTCGACAAGTTCGACAAGTGACTCCTACTATTCCACTCCACCAGGTCACCAGGCCCAGCAGCCTGGACCAAACCTTCAATACAGTTTGATTAAGATGAAGCTTCACAGGGCATACTCTACACCAGCTCCATCGGGATGGAACTACCCTATTCAATATCGAAGGATCCGATGAGGGCTGGTGGGTTTACAAAGGGGCTTCCTCACATAAAGAGAACTATGTTATGAAAATACGCATGTGGTGCTACGGCACTCGTGGCTATGCAAGGCACAGGAGCGACCTGGGTGTGCCATCGAGGTCGCGGGGTTTCGTGCCGGTTTTCCTTCACACAATCCCTTTTTGAACACACACACACACACCAAGGTAAGTTTATGATTATCTGCATGCGCCGTCTGGCTGTTCCTGGTTTCATATCGACTTCGGACTTCCTTTCTGCCAAAGATCATCAAGAAGGACCCTAGTCCCAGCCACTACTCGTCACTCTGAGGAACAGGCTGCAGAGCCAGGTGTAAGGTGAGGATCTCAGTGGGAGGGCTTCTCGATGCTTCGTTCATGTTCTTTCTTTGGGCTTGAGCTTGTCTTGATAGACTTTGGTTCCAGGGGCTGCTAATTTGATGGGGAGCTGGATGGGGAGTTTCCGGTGTCATGGTTTGCGGCCCAACTGAATGGTGCAGGCGCGAAGATTGCTCTGTAGGATGAGCGGGTTTTAGGGAGCCATCCCACCACGTGAGAGGCTCTGCGTCAATTTTCCGGGAAAAGAAAGCGAAGGCCAACATCAGAGCAGCGCAGCTTAGTGCAGCTTTCGCAGCTTCTGCGGGGCGGTGGCATCCTCCAAACAGTCAGCTGGCTGCGAACCAGCTTTGCTTTGTGTTATTCTGTTTCTTTCCGCGGGCATAGAGGAGTAAGCCGAGCCCCCTCTCGGGTGCCATCCTGCTCTGCCCGCGGCAACCTGCTCTGTGACACTAGTGACTACTGCGAACGTGTGGGACGCGTGGAGCCTCTTCCCGATTTCTTTCAAGACTTCACGACATCAGAGATCCGACCCACATGCGGCAACCCGAGTCATCTATAACAGAACTCCAAAAGCTCCCCCGATAAAGATCCATGACTAACTCCGACTTCGAGCCTTTAGGGCTTCTGGTCTTCCTGGCCTGTTACAGTTCGTTGGTACGAGCTGTCAAGCTTGGTAAATGTAGAGCTGTCTTGGCTGATGGGCTTGTCCAGCTGCATCTGCTTGGGCCCGCGGCATAGTTCAGATTGTCCGAATGGGGCGCAATCTTTGTGCGGGGTGGCCTGGCAGTTGCGTCTTGAGGTGTACATAATCAAACTAAATCGACAGAAAGCAAGTAAAGTGTGTAAACTATAGTGAACAAGTAACCAAAATGCGTGAGGCACGCTGACAGAATAAGTGCTCAGCTCACGACCTCAACAATATGCCGATCTCCCTCTCTTTCGCTCGCTGTAGGCACATGTACGTATTTGCATGGGCACGGATGCCTGCGGAGGCCTGTGGAGGTACATGCGAGTGGTTCTTTCAAGTATGCATCCCTGGCATGTGCCTGTTTTCGGCGTTCGTTTTCCTGACAGCTCAGACAGGACCCCCCCGTTGAGAACCACATCCCATCGATCTGCATTTCTAGAAATTGCTTCATCTGCACAGGCATCCATGTCTGTCTGGTCATGTCCACGCATCCGTCCAGCGAGCCATCCATCCATCCATCCATGCACACACATGGGCAACGGCAAAATATATGTGGCCCTATACTTCTTGAACATGGTAAACAAGCAGCTCACATATTCTGAGAATCCTTCGGGAGATGCCGAGCGACTAAAACCCGCCAGGCCCGCAATTGAGCAAAGAAAACTTCAAACGGAAGTAGACCTTCCAACCTGCCATGCAAGGGCAGATTGGGAACGGAGGGTACGGCTGCCTGAATTGTAACATAGGATCGAGCTGCTGAGCTGCGGTCTCTTTCTTTTCTCTCACTGAATGTCGCCTCTGGCAGTCCAAGCAGTAGGTGAAACGCTTACAGCCGCAATCCACACGCCGAGCCAGCTGTACAAGGCACTTCGTGCCATCAACGGGATGTGCTGTCTGACCTGCGAATGCCCGAAGCTTGATGACTTTTAGGTCAGTGTTTAAATTCCAGTGATGCACAGGGTGCTCGCGCTGATCGGTGCATCGTCAGTCAAATCCTAAATTCGGAGCCATAACACTTTTCTAAGAGGCCGGCTGCATTCACCGACCTCCAACATGCTACCAAAATGCTCTCAGCACTGCATTGCATCCTAGAGATGCACCAACACCAGAGAGGAAAAGAAGGGTCCTGCCTAAAGCTGGACACTTCCTAGATAGGGTCGCCAAAGAACGGATCGAACTCCTGCTTGCCGGGGCCCATACTCAAGGTGATCCCAGATAAAAACCCCGACGCCGGGTATCCAGCGCCTTTTGCTCCCTTCGCTGTCGGGGCATCTTGCTCGGCCTCCTGCACGGGCTTCAGAGCTTGGGAGGCATTCTGACGCCGAAGGCTGATGAGGGCCTGCAAGCGCCGAACGCTTGCACCGCCCACTACCGGCGCAGGCGCGGGCTCTGCAAGGCTGCTGCTCAGCGTGAGAGCCTTGAGCCCTGGTGATGCCTGGACGTCCTGTAAGCGGCCAAGGAAGCGCTTCAGCTGCGCGGTGGAGGGCTCGCAGTCGGAGCGGGCGAGGGTCGCACGACGTTGATCCTCCAACTCCAGCTGCTGATACTCCTCAGCGATAGTCGCCAAAAGCCATTGGTGCTCTGCCTCGAGGCTCTCTCGAATTCCCGCAGCAACCTCATCAATGTCATCCAGCCCTAGTGGCTGTCCCATGGGGAGGGAGGGGAGCGTCGCCAAGTTCTGCAGCAGATCGGGTGTGCTGCAAGAGAGGCGCCTGGGTCATTTCGGAGTCAACTTCCCGAAACTTGCTTATCTCTAGTCTCTTGCCTGAAAAATACTTTACTTTTCGGCAACCAGTCGCGTGCTGGCAGTGGAGGGTCTCGTCGATGGAGTTGCTGGTGGTACAGCATCCCTGGCCTCATCGCCGGGACATCACAAGTCTTCGCTTCCAGCTTCCATAAGACATACTGTAAGTACATCCCATAGAATTAATGTCTAAAGTGAGGCTTCAGCTCGTCTGTGCCCCCTGACGAGCGCAAACCCTCAAACAACCCAAATCTCCGCAAATCTGATCGCTGAAGCACCTTCCCATAGCCGGCATCCTGCAGGGAAGGGGCTGGTCTAGCGAAGAGGCGTGCCACCCTACTGTCACGAGTACTCGGAAAAAGACTATAGTGAAGTGGCTGCAACGAGGACACGTTCTTAGAGGGTCTGCTGGCTATAGCGGTGCTGATATGGGGTGTACTGCATGGCTGCACTGGCGATTGCAGTGCAGCCCTTACTAGATTTAGGCTGCAAAGGCCAACGATGACCGACAATGAGAGATATTAGATTAGAGACAGTGGTTCAACGCGGTGGACCTACACCAAACAGAATCGAAGTCCTCCGACCTTCATTACAGTTATCGGGCACCGGAGCGTGCAGGATTTTGCTTCAGGGACCCTAATTATTAGAATCTGCTGTGGGGAGTTCATAGTAGCTATGATGCTCTTGGGCTGTATACAGGGGACGAAATTCCTGTGACTCTTCAGACCACCATATGGGTGGTCCTATAAACTAAAAATATTTTTTGGCTCCCCAATCATATAATACGGCACTTCTAAAAAGGGCAAAAGGGCCCCAGCAAGGGACCCTACTTCAGCGAACCTACCCATATCGCACGCGTCTCACGCCGTCCTCCTGCAGGACGAAACTCCGAAGGTGGCCATTCCGCAACTCGGGGACCATGTCCTCCATGGGGGCTGTGTGTAGTTTAGGCATTACCTTTAGTATAGTATCGTAAAGCATAGTATGATTCAGTCTAACCCAGTATATACAGCATAGCACAACTCAAAATTTGAGGATTAGGATTACGATGAAGATTATTTTTAGCGCCAGCACAAGTCTCAGCATTGATGCTAGGGTTGGGTTTAGTATCAGTATCCGTAACAATATACGTACGAGTAAGGTGGTAGTAAACTATACGACACTGTATTGGTTGGTTGAGACTGGGCTCCCACGACTGCTCACGCGACCACTACGGCTGCTACTACTTGCCGTCTTACTCTGAAAGCGACAGCTGCTTCATTCTTGCTGATGCGAACCTCACTTCAAGAAGCGATCGTTTTTTTGCCGGATCTGAGACACAAGGAGGGACGAGTTCAGGTGTAGGTCCTCCACTGAGTGACCACAAGCGTTCGCTTGGCTGCGGAGGTCTTCCAGAATCATCTGCGCTTGCCGCCGCAGAAGATCCCGGTGCCTTGGAGTGCGGATTTTGTTCCCTCCCACATAGCTTGGACGAGCCCGCGTTGCAGGGTATGTTCGGATATGTCTGACTTGCAAAAGATCAACACCCATTCAGGCCTCAGATTAAGGACGATTGTGCGAGATCTCATTCAGTCCACCAGGGTAGGGGTTTAGGGTTTAGCGTCCCTAAACCGGCCCTAAATCCTATAAGGGCTGAGGACGGAGAAGAACGGTTTACGCTCTCACAATTTTCGGGGACATGCCAGGCTTGGCCTATCAGGAAAGAGCGGTTTATGGTGTCCTCGTGTCAAGCAAAGCAGAAGCAGGTGCGTAACCAGCCAAAAAAACCTGGAGCATCGCCCTCGTCACTGGCTCAATATGTTTTAACTATCAGCGCCGTGGTCATCAGATTCACCACCCTGAGCACCATGACTGGCATGTCATCACTATCATCTTGCGTGCGCTAGTTTCATCTCGACCTCCACCGTTGCCATGGTGATCAACATCGCAACCGCCATGACTCCGATCTTGCACCTGGTGATGGTGATGATGATGATGATGATGGTCGTGGCGGTGTCCGCCGCCGCCATCATCAAGACCAAAATCAAACAGCTTCATCTTCAGCAAGGTCGCCATAACAACAGCAGATGCATCGGCAGGAGCAACAGCAGTTGCATCGGCAGCAGCAACAGCAGCAGCAGCAGCAGCAGCACCACCACCACCACCACCACCACCACCACCACCGTCGCGACTGGCCAAATAACAATCACCTTCTCCATGACATGGCTACTGTCATCAATGCTGTCGTCATCACCATGGTCATGAGTAGCAACAGTGACTGTCACACATCTTCTGGATGTCATGTGGCTCTCGTGACAAAGAGACACTGCTGAAGCACATCCAAGGCGCTGCGTGTCGCAGAAGTCGGTCTGCTGCCTTCTCCCTTCGGAGATTTGGTCATTCCTGCGATGGCTTTTGAGCGAAAGGCGTCGGGTTTAGCACTCCCGCAGCTGGCCGATTTCTGCGTAAGCATCTACGGCTCGCGGCCGGTCATGGTGATCCGCAGGAATCTTCAAGGTTACGGACTTCCCTGTGTCAGCGCAGTGTTCGACTACCTAATTTCATAGGTGCCGTCAAAGCACCGATTGCGAAACTCATCCAGCATGTGTCGCAGGGACCAGATTTCGTCCCACATCAACCTGCAACACGACGGAGTCTCGAGAGATTGGCATTCAGCATTCTGCAGAAGATTGCATTGCAGCGACTTGAAAGCTTTTGTAAGCGCTGGGCTTATTCTGCTGGATCAGCTGGTGGCCGACTAATCGCTTGATGAGCATCACCTCCGGTTTATAGAGTTGACGCCTCAGGAGCCCGGCGCCAAGAGACAGAGAGATGTTCTCACAAGGCAGCAAGGCCACCAGCGTGTGATGTAGGATCTACTCAGGGAGTTGGGCCCACTGAACCGCTTTCGCACCCTGAACAGCTAACCCTAAAGCCTATACCATGGCCTAAAGTCACCTTTTTGCATCAGGAATCAGGACTTGTGACTTGTGCAATCGCCTGAAGTTCAGAGCATACGCAGGCTCAGCTCTCCTGACTGCACTTCCATACTTGGCTCAAACAGCTCGCGGGGACCACCTCGAAAACAAACACACACACACACACACACACACGCACACACACGATCCATAGCCAGTTGTGAATCTCCCGAAAAACTACCAAATAACCATCAGCAGCTTGACTGGACACCAACAGTTGGCAACAAAGGTGACTTCCCAACATAGCCATATGACCCAAAAATGACTCCCGACACTCCGTGTTCAGCTCAACCCGGAGATCATTACCCTAAACCCTAATCTTAGACGCTACAGTAATATAGAACCCTAGTCCCTAAACCCTGTACTGCCCTTTTCCCTAAACCCTGAATGCTTCACCACGCATGTAAGACAGGGGAAGCTGGGTTCGCCGACTTGATTGCAAGCCATAGTGGCCCGTCCTGTTCCCCTCGCGACTCGGGTCCAGGGGGGATCTGGGCCATGGCCTCAGGCGGTGGTGACACAGGGGCCTTAATCGTTAGAATGGTTGGGGGCAGTTTATAGGATAGTTAGAATAAAAGATCCTTCCTGAACATTCCGACCCCTGGCCTTGTACCTTTCTCTGGTTTGGACCCTCGGCTCACTTCTCGATTTCGAGGGGTTGAGGCTTGGGCTGCGGTTCTTGGCGAAAATGAAAAAGCTCGCATGGGCTTTTGGAATTAAGGGTCAACAGTTGGCTCCTCGTTCTAGCGAAGAACAAGGAGTACATGCAAACGACTAGCCCCCAGAATTGAATAATGGCAACCGCGAACCAACATAAACAGTGCTCGCGACTACTGTCATGCAAGTCGAGCACATCGAGAAGCGAAGCAAACAGCTGCGGAATGAACAATTTCAAGGTTCGAGATTCATTACATCAGGTCCGAAGTGTGTGCATGCATGTCAAAGATGGCTTAATGTGGTTTTGGGACGTAGTAAAAGTCGATGTAACAATACGACGCAGCACGGACTTTCCAAAACGAGGCTCCACACGTCTCCGCAAAGTCTCTCAACATGGGACCTCAAGCCTTTGGGGCCTACAAGCAAGAACCTGCAGAGTTCATTTAAAGTAAGTATGTGCATGTGTGTATGTTATATATATATATACAATATATAATATAATATAAATAAATACATATATATATATGTAAACTGTAGATACCTCGAACATTCGTACTCACAAAAGCTGGGGCAACTCACAGTAGCGGTAGCAGTAGAATTTCTGTTTCTCTGGGGAGGGAGAGTGGCTTCCTCAAGTTTCGGTAAGCCGCCCAGGGTCGTCGGGTAGGGGTGGCGAGTCGACTGACCATGGCTCGCTTTCAGATGTAGTTCCACAAGACTCTCAGGCTGGCTTAGGCCTGTCCACGACTCATCCTTGAAAACGAGCCAGAGGTCGTGATTGGGCTTGAGGGGCTAAGGCTGATTTGCGTGGACAACGAGAGTCTCTTCCCCGACCAGTGAGCTGCTAGGACCTTGCCGGCAACATGGACGATCACTTGCAGGATGAAACTATCCTCAGCCCGCAGGAGCAGCTGGGGCCTCAAGAGCGACGTGCATTTTCCAAACAAGTTTGTACAAAGCGCCCATTGCTCAGTTCCCATCTGCACCTGGTCCGCAAAGCCGACATGGACATCTTCAAGGCATGCCGCGAAGATGCTGAGGAATGCAGGCATATTCGGCTAACAGGACTTATAGACCCGGCGCTTCATAGCAAAGAGCTTGGCAGAGTTCACACTCTGCCCGCTTCTCAGGATCGTCCTCGACAAAAAGATCGGAAGTCCGAGGTCGGCCTGGGCGGGGGGACCTTGGAGTGCGATGGTTTCGGAACGAACGTGCCTTCCTGGCTCAAAGCGGCCCCGAGTAGGAAAGTCCTTGCCATGGTGTGCAGCGGACCGTTTTGGGTTCCTCATGTGCCATGCTGGCACAAGTGCCTTGCCAAGAGCGTGAAGAACTCAGCAGTCGGCAGCTCGTTTGAATCAGCTTGGTCTCAGCACTCGGCGTGGCAGAGATGTGACCCGACACAGGCAAACTTATACAGCACGGAATTCTTCAGATGCTTCAACTGCAGCTTGGCGTGAGAATGTACAAAGCTTCGCCCAGCACTGCCAAAAGTAGATTTAGGCAAGGAAGAAAGATGACGTAGGATGAGGCGATCACTGCGGCTGCAAGAGCTGCACCAGTCTCATATTAGGAGGTGCTGTTGCGGACACGCCAATACCTACGTACATAGATGCATGCATACATTCGTAAACACGGATATGTAGAGAAACATAGACACCTGAACGTGAACACACAGATATAGGTATAGAAATACATATACATGTAATCTAGACATAGGTATAGACATAGGTATGTATATATCTATATCTATACCTATACCTATACCTGTATCTGTATCTATATCTATATCTGTATCTATCTATTTATATATGCACCAGTTTTCTTGATACCTATACGTATGTGTGTATATATATGCATCCACTTCGTATGTGGGTGTGTATATACTTTTTACAGATGCCGATGCTTACTCGAGTTTCCTGTGTTTTACCAAGAGAAGTCCTCACACTGAGGTTTCTTGACCCGGCCTTCCAGGATTTACAGGAAGCAGTCGAGGCAGCTCTTGGTGAGGAGGCCATGGCTAAGGCTCCTGAGGCTGAAGAGAAGCTGTGCAGTACACAGACTTTAGTTCAGGCTCTTAAGTTAATCTGGGGTTCATTTTCAGGAACCCAGGCTGATTATGTTCATGGTACCAAGGGTCCTTGAAAGAGGTCATTGTTCAGAACAACTTCCACCTTCTTTAGAATTCAGCTCTTTCGTGCAGATCCTTGCTTCTTCTGTTTTCGCAATCGCCACTGAGGTGCTGTTGACTCGGAATGTCACACTCCCGCCTCCTCGAGCAGCTCAATTTCTGTGGGCGACATGGGCACAAATTCCAGCTGGACGTAAGCTGGTTCTTGAATCTCAAGGTGAATGCCGTCGACTTCGCGTCTTTGTTCACGGCCTAAGCTCCGCAGGGGCAATTTTTAAGATCGGCCGCGGTGCGAAGTTGGAGATCCGGAACATGGAAATCGACAGCATAAACCCGTGCCGCAACTCGAGGAAATGCTGCATTTATTTCGCGATTTCAGAGCCGCCGCATCCTTTGACCTCAGTTGGGCTACAGCTGTCGGAGGTGAAGTTGGCAACGCACCTGCAACACAAGATGCTCACTACTAAGACCGCGTCCCAGTCGACCGTTCTTGATCTCTGCCGTAAGAAATAGTCCACCATTGCAACCCAGCAGTCGCAGGTAGGGCAGGTAGGGATTCTTGTGCAGGGCTTGTGCTGGGGCTCGCAAGGTTCGTCGGAGATGCTTTTGCGGTCAGAGAGGGGCTTCCGGTGAGCAGCCGGCCGCCAGAGGACTTCGCGTATCTGCACATGGTAAGGTCTGTAAAGATGCACATTACAGGAGGAATCAGAATTCCCTGTGCGGTTCAGCCCCGTTTCGCTTCTGCGCTAAGCAGACTGTTTAGCCTTCACGTTGGAGAGATTCGGTCTCCTTCGGACCGGAATCACGACGAAGTATTAGCAGATAAAGAAGCGGACAGATAATTGATGAACTTGCGGTCTTTCGTGTTGCCCACTTCCCTCGAAAAGGCAGAATGCTTTGTTGCAGAAGACAATGAGCCGGACACACATTAGGTACTGCGATGCTCGAGGTCCTAAATGAAGAGGGGTTTAGTGCCCGCATGAACATGTCCCGTTTTCGTGAAAGGATGTTTCATAATTCGTCCTCAACCTGCGGTCAAGCACGGCGACCTGCTGATCCTTGCATAGACTCGGCCAATCTCGGCCATCTCTTGCATCCAGCCTGGTTCTTCGACCGCGGGCCACATTGCCAGGCTTTATGGCAGGCAAGCGATCCCGAGCAGAGGTTTGGGATCTTGGGGAACAACTCGGTCAACAGCTTGAGGAACATCGCGGAGTTTCGGCTGTCTGCGAACCTTCCGTGATTCAGCTCGCCCCAACCAACAGATGCGGCTTCTCGGGAAAGGAAGGCCGTGTGGTCGGCCGGACCCAAACCGACTCGTGCATGGTATGGGCCTGTCTGCCTGGCAGAAAACAGCTTTCAGAAGTCTGCAGTGCATTTTTAAGGCTGAGGCCCGAGCCAGAGCTGTCCATATGCTTTCGATCTGTCAGGTGCAGGAAGACCTGGCTGAGGAGGCCAGGTCTTGAGAAATCAAGGTCAAACAGCCTTGAAAGCCCGCGGATCCACGCTCTAACAAGTCAGAGGATAAGCAGCAATCATGCTATGCCATACAACACTGCGTTCTTTGATGTGATGTTCTTTGTGTCACTTTGTATGGTAATTACGATGTACCACATCATGCTATACCTTTCAGATCCTATATCATAGCGTTTCAAGTATCATTTTTTTTTGCGCCCGTTGTGACCGCCAGGGGAAGAAGCTCATGACTCTCAAGCTCGGTCTCGGAAATGTCGCGGCATCTCGGGTCTACCAGCTATCAACTACTAGTTGTACTGCAACAAAAACACCAGCAACAAAAAACACCAACAGCTTAGCAGCATAAGACAGCAACTGTAGCAACGACAGCAGCAACAGCAAGAGCACCACTAAAACCACCACTACCCGTCACTATTGTCTATAATTACTACTACTACTAGTACTACTACTACTACTGCTACTGCTACTGCTACTGCTACTGCTACTGCTCCTCCTACTACTACTACTACTACTTCTACTACTACTGCTCTTCCAGCCG